CATACGAAATTCCCTCAACAGAGACTGATACTAGTTTTCTAAAATTTAATTTCTACAAGTCACTATTTTATTAGGGTCTCCACAACTGTTATACAAATTGATTTTGTGTCTGTGACATCAACGAATAAAAAAGGAAACTCATGTGAAATGATCCCCGAAGCATTGCCATAAACTACATCAGAACTTGTGTCTGGCATGCTGTAGGTTTTGATAAATCACTTCGTAACATAAAAACATGGAAAATAATGAAGATGAATCAAATAAAGTATAACCATCGATAGGATTCGAACCCAGGTCCTCTGATTGTTAAACTATCACTGTATCCAGCTGAAGCATCTTGTCATCGATAGCGTTCTGTGTGTCAAGACCAGGATTCGAACCCAGGTCCTCTGATTGTTAAACTATCACTGTATCCAGCTGAAGCATCTTGTAATCGATAGCGTTCTGTGTGTAAAGACCAGGACTCGAACCCAGGTCCTCTGATTGTTAAACTATCACTGTATCCAGCTGAAGCATCTTGTCATCGATAGCGTTCTGTGTGTAAAGACCAGGATTCGAACCCAGGTCCTCTGATTGTTAAACTATCACTCTATCCAGCTGAAGCATCTTGTCATCGATAGCGTTCTGTGTGTAAAGACCAGGATTCGAACCCAGGTCCTCTGATTGTTAAACTATCACTCTATCCAGCTGAAGCATCTTGTCATCGATAGCGTTCTGTGTGTAAAGACCAGGATTCGAACTCAGGTTCTCTGATTGTTAAACTATCACTCTATCCAGATGAAGCATCTTGTAATCGATAGCGTTCTGTGTGTCAAGACCAGGATTCGAACCCAGGTCCTCTGATTGTTAAACTATCACTCTATCCAGCTGAAGCATCTTGTAATCGATAGCGTTCTGTGTGTAAAGACCGGGATTCGAACCCAGGTCCTCTGATTGTTAAACTATCACTCTATCCAGCTGAAGCATCTTGTCATCGATAGCGTTCTGTGTGTAAAGACCAGGATTCGAACCCAGGTCCTCTGATTGTTAAACTATCACTCTATCCAGATGAACCATCTTGTCATCGATAGCGTTCTGTGTGTAAAGACCGGGATTCGAACCCAGATCCTCTGATTGTTAAACTATCACTCTATCCAGCTGAAGCATCTTGTCAATGGTATTACCCTGCCCTAATCTCGCTTCAGTTTTCATAATATATTCAAAACGAAATTAAGGGGAGGTAACTGACTGTTAGGTTACTGTATATATACGAAAAAAGCACAATGGAATTATCTAGTGTTTTTCCTGGAAGGGGACGGGGTGGGGTGGGGTGGGGTCGGGGTTGGGGTGGGGGTTAACATAGCTTCCCATACCATGGATTATCAGTGTAAATTGAGTGATAATTTGCTTTATGAAACAATCTAATAACACGTAAGATGTATTCCGTTACAAAATAAAATAAAATAATACGTGTATGTGTTTCCTTTCAGAGAAAGCATTCTATAATATGTGTTTGCTAACAATAATTTGGCCTGATTAACAGCGGTGGTGATCGCACTTTTAATTCTTTAATTGTTACATTTATTAACCTATATCTTTGAATTATATGATGTCCCTTATTATTAATGTAAGCTATACTGATTTGATAGGTTTATTGATTTAGAATTGTTGAATGAATTGGTGTTCGCTTTAACATACTTCGAAGGGAAAAAATAGCTAAAACCTGAATTGGAATGACTTAATGAGGTCTCATAGGATTTGGAATGGCTTAATCGTGTCTCATAGGATTTGGAATGGCTTAATGGTGTTCCAGAGGATTTGGAATGGCTTAATGGTGATTCATAGGATTTGAAATGGCTTAATGGTGTTCCATATAATTTGGAATGACTTAATCGTGTCTCATAGGATTTGGAATGACTTAATGGCGTTCCATAGAATTTGGAATGGCTTAATCGTGTCTCATAGGATTTGGAATGGCTTAATCGTGTCTCATAGGATTTGGAATGGCTTAATGGCGTTCCATAGAATTTGGAATGGCTTAATCGTGTCTCATAGGATTTGGAATGGCTTAATGGTGTTCCAGAGGATTTGGAATGGCTTAATGGTGTTCCAGAGGATTTTGAATGGCTTCATGGTGTTCCAGAGGATTTGGAATGGCTTAATGGTGTTCCAGAGGATAAAAATGGCTTAATTGTGATCCAGAGGATTTGGAATGGGTTAATGGTGATTCATAGGATTTGGAATGGCTTAATGGTGTCTCATAGGATTTGGAATGGCTTAACGGTGATTCATAGGATTTGGAATGGCTTAAGGGTGTTCCATATAATTTGGAATGGCTTTATCGTGTCTCATAGGATTTGGAATGACTTAAAGGTGATTCATAGGATTTGGAATGGCTTAATGGTGTCTCATAGGATTTGGAATGGCTAAATGGTGATTCATAGGATTTGGAATGGCTTAATGGTGTTCCATATAATTTGGAATGACTTAATCGTGTCTCATAGGATTTGGAATGGCTAAATGGTGTTCCAGAGGATTTGGAATGGCTTAATGGTGTTTCAGAGAATTTGGAATGGCTTAATGGTGTTCCAGAGGATTTGGAATGGCCTAATGGTGTTCCAGAGGATAAAAATGGCTTAATGGTGTTCCAGAGGATTTGGAATGGTTTAATGGTGTTCCATATAATTTGGAATGGCTTTATGGTGTTCCAGAGGATAAAAATGGCTTAATGGTGTTCCAGAGGATTTGGAATGGTTTAATGGTGTTCCATATAATTTGGAATGGCTTTATCGTGTCTCATAGGATTTGGAATGACTTAAAGGTGATTCATAGGATTTGGAATGGCTTAATGGTGTCTCATAGGATTTGGAATGGCTAAATGGTGATTCATAGGATTTGGAATGGCTTAATGGTGTTCCATATAATTTGGAATGGCTTTATCGTGTCTCATAGGATTTGGAATGGCTTAATGGCGTTCCATAGAATTTGGAATTGTTTAAAGGTGTTCCAGAAGTCATTTCATTTCGAATGTTGATGTTTTGAATGTCTTTCAAAAGAAATGCTTAACCTGACTCTAAGTTTCTTGATCATTTAGCATTGATGTCACTGATCATGATTTGGAAGGTAGTATGATAGTCGCGAATCGTTTTGGAATTGTAAAGGTAGCAGTTCTTGATTTTTATGATCTAATTGTGAAATAACCTCAGGTGGTGTTTTATCATATATTTTTTTACCTTTGCTTCTGGTTAAGAAACACTATATTTACCCCCCTTTGGTAATGTCCCTGTGTAGACATAGCATTCTTAGTAAAGTATAGAACATCTTACTGTTAGTCAATATGAATGACAGGTTGAACATGACAGATACAACATGAAGATGTAGCGCTAGTTGTTTCTTCTGCTCTTGCATGTCTTGTTTAGTTTTTCTGAAATTAAAGCAATTATCATCAAATGAGGGAATTGGTGTCACAAGTGTCACCATTGATAACATCGAGTTTTACTTCCGTATCGATTTCCTACTCATGTGGAATATGACAAATTCAACGTGAGACGCTAGCACGCCTCACAGAATTCAAGTTCCATGTGGAATTCATATTGACTATGAATGTCATCCGAAGGCAGTTCATTACTTGAATAATCATTCATATTCATTACTGTGAGCTGAATGGAGGTAGGAAACCTTCTCACTGAAGCTCGGGTGTTTTACTTAAGAACAAATACACATTAATTGGTGGTGTATCCTTTGCTCCTGTACGTCACGGTTGTGTTCTGAAAATTAGGGTGATTGTCTTTCAAAGGAAGAAACTAATGTCATAAGTGTCATAATTGGTCACGTGGAGTTTGACATCCGTACCGATTTCCTGTTTGGTAACTGACCGATCAGTTGGTACAATGGCATTGACCTAACCTGTAATCGGGTATTACATCATAACGGTCACTGTAAGTGGGCGGGGTTACACTAGCCCGAGGTGAATTATATATATACATGGACCGTACATTTGCTGGGTTACCATCGAGTCTGTTTTATATCAAATGTACCAAGATAAGGTAATAGTGATTAAACTATAAGTTGTCCTGTATCAAGAGACAATACTTAGATATACTACTTAACGGTTTCGATATTGTCATTTCATAATCCTTTCCTATATTGACCCAAAATCCCGATATCAGCCCGAGAGTTGGAGGCCCGAGGGTTAATATGAGTCGAGAGTTACTATGGGGGTAGGCTATGGAAATTAGTTTTTATAAGCATTTGATCATGTACTATGTACTGTCAATATTTATTTTAATAACGTCAGAATAATTCAAACTTTATAATTCCGATTTGCTTGATCGGGTTATACCGGAAGTGATATATGGTGCGTGCAGAGCCGATATGGATCGGGCCGAGCTATTCCTTATCTGCAGCTTTATGTAAAACAATCAGCGATACTCCGTTTTAAGTATATAATGTGCATGACACTTTATATTTTGAATATTTCTCATTCAAATGAGGACAAGAAATACCACATACTTTAGTATCATGTAGCATTAGTGATGTCAGTGGTATTATGGCATGCTCACCCGTACACGGAATGGCGACATCCGATTTTGTTGGCGTTCAATAGTTGAGTGATAACACATATATGACTTAGATTTCACGCTATATCCTTGAGGGATTTTCCACTTTGTTAGTATCTATTTCCTCGATGATGTAAGACCATATTCAGAGTTATGGCATTACAATGCCTGTGGGTATGAGTAGTTTAAAACACGAGAAGACAGATGGGCTGGCTGACAACGGGGTTCATTTAAAGTTAGTACAGTTGTTTCACGGTGTACAATTAAATCTAACCTTTCTGGTGCAAGTACATATTCCAACATTATTGTGTGGCGGTAAAATTAGAGCCGTATTTAATTTAGAGATCCGGAATACACACTGGCGGTTGTTACGTAAGCCCAAACAATTCCCAGGCTTGGTTTATAATAAGCAAGCGTATTGTGTGCATTAGTAAGGCTGATTTATCAAAGAATCAGTAGCAGCCGATACAGTACTGATTACCGAGCACGCAAATAGCTGTATTACTTAGCTTTATTCAGCATCGCTGCTTAATGAGCCCGAGAAGGTTGGCAGAGGAAGGCCAAAACCTTCACCGATAGACCAGGAGTATTCCAAAAAAACGCAGAGATCTTCATCTCACTCCGGCAAGACGATAGGCTCAGGACACAAGTCATAATCAAATTAACAGGTTTAAGAAGCTGCATTTAACAGCAACCTACATATAAAAACGAGAAATTGATTATCGGTATTGCGTGAAGTCGGAAAATCTATACACGGCCCTTAGTCCTTTAGCAGTTCTACTAAAGCCCTAGGGAACGCGCATTTTTGGCTTGTAGTTGTCGGTGCTAGTGTCGAGTGTCTTGGAGACAGGTCATAACTGGGAAGCTGGAAAGCACAGCGTGGAACGAGCTCGGATACAGCGGCTGAAACAAGGCTGGGTTCCCATGGAAAGGCAGGATCAGCAGGCTACACAGTGTCATTATCATCAGAGCCGCTTGCAGTTTTGAGCTTCTGAGCTTGGATGCACAAATAGTGTACGGAAAATTGAATAGGAATCCCATGATTGGAATAGCCGAGGCTAAACGTAGTGTGTGCAGTGGAGTGTGACCGTATGTTAATACCAGGCTTTCGCTGTGTAGTGTTGGGAGTACGAGGAGACTAGCATTATATCTATATGGGAAGTAATTCTAAATCGAGGAAGAGTTTGTTTAAAGATCAAAGCTACACATAAGGTCTGTCCAATATTAAGGTGCAGGCTATATTTCGGAGGAGTAACAGATGTACACTAGAGCCTGGTGTTAAGCAAACCTTTAACGCCTGGCCTTATATTGGTGTTTTTCTCACCGAGTGCGAATTATTGACATTTTTAAAAGCTCTTTACATATCTCAATCGCTGTGCGTGGATTATGCAAATATAGGTACAGCATTGTGAAAAAACGTGTATAATTTGTTAGTGAAACCTACTACAATATGGAAAGTCCGTGGGTCGAATCGCAAAGGGCAGAGGCCGAAAATGGGGAGTTACTTTCCGTGAATGAATCTGAAGAGGAGTTGGATAAGGAAGGCACTGTAGTGGTGAAGGATGGTAAGTAAACGTTCCCTAATGTTAGTAAATAGTACACGCGTGCACGTAAGATGACGTGCAAGGTGTTGAGTGACAGATTGTAAACATCGAGGCGTGTAGCTGCTCTATATCTTAGTGTGTAGTATATACTGCTGTGGGAAAGGTCACTCCAGATCACCAGATCATACACACATAGATATAAAGCTACGATATACCTGTAATTTACCTGGAGGGGGGATGGAGGTGAGAAATTAGCGGACTCTCTCGGTGGCATCTTACTGATCTATAGTGGGACACATACCGGTGACAGCGGTGAATCATCTATCGGTAAGTGCTACCGGGAGAAACGCTGTCGGGTAAAAAACAGGTTAAGTAGATTCCAATTGCATTACATAGAGGAAAGCTACCTGCATTTACTTTCATGTCCATTGTAACTTCTTCAGATTTCCCATCGACAAGTTTAAATCCCCGGGCTGTTAGGACACCAATAGTGTTACAGAAGAATATTGCATGTATTAAACGTTCTTATCAACCTTTAGTGATCCCAATAAAGACGTACACCAGAAGGAAGTGATTTTGTCAGTAAACACACCGTTAGGTCTGGCTTTGTTAAGTTATGCCCCTGTATGATTTATTAGCCAACCTATAAATCATAATATATGTATCGAAGGGGACGGCAATGATCAGAAAAAATTCCGCCCTGCCTAATTTAGTCTCTAAAGTTAAATGATCAAGGTCATATACCTACAGGTGGGTGTTCTTGACACCTCCCCACTCCCCCTCCCATAACTAGTAGCAGCCCGCCAATGTCACAGAAACGTATATCGTCGTGACATTAGGGTAGCGTCATTATATATTCATGTTACTGGTAATCGCTGTTTTTTCGCCGCTAATTCCATTGGCGTATTCATTGGTACAGAATTAGCAGCGTTCCACCCATTGACTCTGACAGATGTTCTTATAATTTCCCACATTTGTACAGTTGATTGAATATCGTTCTATTTTGGCGGTAGTGATGATAATGTATTGAGCGTCCTCCATTTACTAGATAAAAGCATCAGTAGGTTACAGATCTGTAGGTATTGTCTACACACGGCTCTGTCTCTTACTCATCAAAACTGTACGTCTGTCTACCCATCCAGTCTGTATGTCTGTCCGCCTATCCATCCAACCTTTACATCTGTCTATCCATCCGACTTGTTCGTCTGTCTCTTCATCCGACCTGTACGTCTTTCTCCCTATCAAATCTGTACGTCTGTCTATCCATCCGACCTGCATTTTTGACTCCTACCCATCCGACCTGTGCGTCTGTCTCCTTCCCATCCGACCTGTATGTCTGTCTCCTACCCATCCGACCTGTATGTCTGTCTCCTACCCACCCGACCTGTACGTCTGTCTCCTACCCATTCGACCTGTACGTCTGTCTCCTACCCATCCGACATGTACACCTGTCTCCTACCTATTCGACCTGTATACCTGTCTCCTACCCATCCAACCTGTACACCTGTCTCCTACCCATCCGACCTGTACACCTGTCTCCTACCCATCCGACCTGTACGTCTGTCTCCTACCCATCCAACCTGTACGTCTGTCTCCTACCCATCCGACCTGTATCGTACCCATCCAATCTGTACGTCTGTTTACTTGGTCGACCTGTTCGTCTGTCGACTCGTCCGACCTGTATATCTGTCTCCTACCCATCCGACCTGTATCGTACCCATCCAATCTGTACGTCTGTTTACTTGGTCGACCTGTTCGTCTGTCGACTAGTCCGATCTGAACGCCTGTCTCCTACCCATCAGACCTGTACGTCTGTCTCCTACCCATCCAATCTGTACGTCTGTTTACTTGGTCGACCTGTTCGTCTGTCGACTAGTCCGACCTGTATATCTGTCTCCTACCCATCCGACCTGTACGTCTGTCCCACAATCCAACCTGCATGTATGTTTCTAAACTCCTCTTCTGAATTAATTACTATTGAATTCCTTATAACTAACAAAAACGCCATGGACTTAAACTGGTTTTGATACTGGTACGTATTTAATCAGGATATGTTACCCTTATTATTGCTGCTATATTCCAATATTAATCTGGTTTGACCCAGTTCGGACACAGACTTCCCTTGCCCTCAGCTGTCCTCACGATAACCTCTATGTTATTTCTATAACCTCTATGTGTTTCTATAAAGGACTGTCATAGCAGGCTCATTACCACAAACCACTTCCTTAAATGCCGTTTAAGAATCAGTAAATGTTAAAGCAGACCAAAACGTCATTTGTCCCCCCTTGATTCTGTACTAGACACTACATGTGACCTCGCCCCTTGATTCTGTACTAGACAATACATGTGACCTCTCCCCTTGATTCTGTACTAGACACTACATATTACCTCTCCCCTTGATTCTGTACTAGACACTACATGTGACCTCGCCCCTTGCTTCTGTACTAGACAATACATGTGACCTCTCCCCTTGATTCTGTACTAGACACTACATGTGACCTCTCCCCTTGATTCTGTACTAGACACTACATATTCCCTCTCCCCTTGATTCTGTACTAGACACTACATATTCCCTCTCCCCTTGATTCTGTACTAGACACTACATATTACCTCTCCCCTTGATTCTGTACTAGACAATACATTACCACAAACCACTTCCTTAAATGCCGTTTAAGAATCAGTAAATGTTAAAGCAGACCAAAACGTCATTTGTCCCCCCTTGATTCTGTACTAGACGCTACATGTGACCTCGCCCCTTGATTCTGTACTAGACACTACATGTGACCTCGCACCTTGATTCTGTACTAGACAATACATGTGACCTTCCCCCTTGATTCTGTACTAGACAATACATGTGCCCTCTCCCCTTGATTCTGTACTAGAATACATGTGACCTTTCCCCTTGATTCTGTACTAAACAATACATATGACCTCTCCCCTTGCTTCTGTAATAGACAATACATGTGACCTTTCCCCTTGATTCTGTTCTAAACAATACATATGACCTCTCCCCTTGCTTCTGTAATAGACAATACAGGTGACCTTTCCCCTTGATTCTGTACTAGACAATACCTGTGACCTCTCCCCTTGATTCTGTACTAGACAATCCATGTGACCTCTCCCCTTGATTCTGTCCTAGACACTACATATTTCCTCTCCCCTTGATTCTGTACTAGACACTACATATTACCCCTCCCCTTGATTCTGTACTAGACACTACATGTGACCTTGCCCCTTGATTCTGTACTAGACAATACATGTGACCTCACCCCTTGATTCTGTACTAGACAATACATGGGACCTTTCCCCTTGATTCTGTACTAGACAATACAGGTGACCTCGCCCCTTGATTCTGTACTAGACAATCCATGTGACCTCTCCCCTTGATTCTGTCCTAGACACTACATATTTCCTCTCCCCTTGATTCTGTACTAGACACTACATGTGACCTCTCCCCTTGATTCTGTACTAGACAATCCATGTGACCTCTCCCCTTGATTCTGTCCTAGACACTACATATTTCCTCTCCCCTTGATTCTGTACTAGACACTACATGTGACCTCGCCCCTTGATTCTTTACTAGACAATACATGTGACCTCTCCCCTTGATTCTGTACTAGACAATCCATGTGACCTCTCCCCTTGATTCTGTCCTAGACACTACATATTTCCTCTCCCCTTGATTCTGTACTAGACACTACATGTGACCTTGCCCCTTGATTCTGTACTAGACAATACATGTGAGCTCTCCCCTTGATTCTGTACTAGACACTACATATTACCTCTCCCCTTGATTCTGTACTAGACAATACAGGTGACATCGCCCCTTGATTCTGTACTAGACAATACATGGGACCCCTCCCCTTGATTCTGTACTAGACAATACATGTGCCCTCTCCCCTTGATTCTGTACTAGAATACATGTGACCTTTCCCCTTGATTCTGTACTAGACAATACCTGTGACCTCTCCCCTTGATTCTGTACTAGACAATCCATGTGACCTCTCCCCTTGATTCTGTCCTAGACACTACATATTTCCTCTCCCCTTGATTCTGTACTAGACACTACATATTACCCCTCCCCTTGATTCTGTACTAGACACTACATGTGACCTAGCCCCTTGATTCTGTACTAGACAATACATGTGACCTCTCCCCTTGATTCTGTACTAGACAATCCATGTGACCTCTCCCCTTGATTCTGTCCTAGACACTACATATTTCCTCTCCCCTTGATTCTGTACTAGACACTACATGTGACCTAGCCCCTTGATTCTGTACTAGACAATACATGTGACCTCCCCCCTTGATTCTGTACTAGACAATACATGTGACCTTCCCCCTTGATTCTGTACTAGACAATACATGTGCCCTTTCCCCTTGATTCTGTACTAGACAATACATATTACCTCTCCCCTTGATTCTGTAGCAGACAATACATGTGACCTCTCCCCTTGATTCTGTACTAGACAATACATATTACCTCTCCCCTTGATTCTGTAGTAGACAATACATGTGACCTCTCCCCTTGATTCTGTACTAGACAATACATTTGACCTCGCCCCTTGATTCTGTACTAGACAATACATGTGACCTTTCCCCCTGATTCTGTACTAGACAATACATGGGATCTGTCCCCTTGATTCTGTACTAGACAATACATGGCACCTCTCCCCTTGATTCTGTACTAGACAAAACATGTGACCTCTCCCCTTGATTCTGTACTAGACAAAACATGTGACCTCTCCCCTTGATTCTGTACTAAACAATACATATGTCCTCTCCCCTTGCTTCTGTAATAGACAATACAGGTGACCTTTCCCCTTGATTCTGTACTAGACAATCCATGTGACCTCTCCCCTTGATTCTGTACTAAACAATACATGGGATCTGTCCCCTTGATTCTGTACTAGACAATACATATTACCTCTCCCCTTGATTCTGTAGCAGACAATACATGTGACCTCTCCCCTTGATTCTGGACTAGACAATACATGTGACCTCTCCCCTTGATTCTGTACTAAACAATACATGGGATCTGTCCCCTTGATTCTGTACTAGACAATGCATGTGACCTCTCCCCTTGATTCTGTACTAAACAATACATATGTCCTCTCCCCTTGCTTCTGTAATAGACAATACAGGTGACCTTTCCCCTTGATTCTGTACTAGACAATGCATGTGACCTCTCCCCTTGATTCTGTACTAAACAATACATGGGATCTGTCCCCTTGATTCTGTACTAGACAATACATGGGATCTGTCCCCTTGATTCTGTACTAGACAATACATGTGCCCTCGCCCCTTGATTCTGTACTAGACAATAAATATGACCTCTCCCCTTGATTCTGTACTAGACAATACATGTGACCTTTCCCCTTGATTCTGTACTAGACAATACATGGGATCTGTCCCCTTGATTCTGTACTAGACAATACATGGGACCTCTCCCCTTGAGTCTGTACTAGACAATACATGGGATCTGTCCCCTTGATTCTGTACTAGACAATACATGTGACCTCGCCCCTTGATTCTGTACTAGACAATACATATGACCTCTCCCCTTGATTCTGTACTAAACAATACATGTGACCTCGCCCCTTGATTCTGTACTAGACAATACATAGGACCTCTCCCCTTGATTCTGTACTAAACAATACATGTGACCTCGCCCCTTGATTTTGTACTAGACAATACATGGGACCTCTCCCCTTGATTCTGTACTAGACAATACATGTGACCTCGCCCCTTGATTCTGTACTAAACAATACATGTGACCTCTCCCCTGGATCCCGTCGTTGTCACGTAGACTCTTTGTTTCTGTGTGTTACAGTGTATGCAGTCCAAACTTTACTGGTCTCCAAGGAGAAGGAGAGTAAGTAGCTTCCCTATGTACATTTTTTGCTTGGTTATCCGTGTTGTTGGCATCGTGTGTAACCATTCCATAGTCCGTTTTCTGTATTTTCAATTACAATGTGTGATGGAAATATCTTCTAAAGCAATTCAAGCACGTCTACAAACCAATAGCGGATCGCGGAATGGCTACTTCCAGACCTTCTTCATGACAGTTCATTTCGGTTCGCAATAAAAGATTCCAAATGCGAGCTATGGGATTGATTTTGCCGTGATTGGACCGGCGAAGTAAATTGTGTTTCTATCTCAGGTCGGGCGCTAACACTTCTATCTCAGGTCGTGCGCTAACATCCCAGGTCGGGCGCTAACACTTATATCTCAGGTCGGGCGCTACGATCTCAGGTCGGGCGCTAACACTTCTTTCTCGGGTCGGCCGCTAACATCTCGGGTCGGGCGCTAACCCTTCTATCTCGGGTCGGGCGATAACACTTCTATCTCTGGTCACGCGCTAACACTTCTATCTCTGGTCACGCGCTAACACTTCTATCTCGGGTCGGTCGCTAACACTTCTATCTCGGGTCGGTCGCTAACACTTCTATCTCGGGTTGGGCGCTAACACTTCTATCTCAGGGCGGGCGCTAACATCTCAGGTCGGGCGCTAACATCTCAGGTCGGGCGCTAACACTTCTATCTCGGTTCATCGTGGACGTTCTCGTGTAGTCGGTAACATTCGATATAGGCTACGTTCAAGTACTCATATACGTAAACACCGAAGGAACTGAAGTGGATTGATTGATTTGGCTTAGAATTTGAATCAAACATGTTACAAAGACTTGCTTATCAATAAGACATAGACATGTATGTATATTAACGTCACGTCATTAAAGGTCTTGGAGAAGAGCCTAATTCCTCTATAACTAAAATCACCCGTCATTACCAGACCTCCCGCCTAGTGTTGTGCCTCTATGTCATAGGTCATTTGGTGACTTTACGAAAGCTACATATGTCACTTTTTTTTCATTCAATTTTATTTATGTAAATTGTAACTTAATTTGCATCTTAACTTAACTGGAATACCAGTTGTTGAACATCATGAGGATGTAATGATACACTTACCATGCAGCATTTATACAATACCGACGACGCGTTCAGCGTTACATTTCCCCATTAACTGCTCATTCGTAACAAAACCGTCTCTAGTGATGATACTGTACAACATATTTTAACCTATTCAATATTACGGGGAGAGCTCCTCCACAACCGAGTTACGTCTGCGAGTTAACGTAAGACAGCTGTGTTTTTGTATCTGATGAACTTTGCAGCGTTAAGGGGGCACTTAAGGTGTGTTTAGCCGCTGTTTTGTTATACGGACGGTATCTATCACGTTGTACGCTAATTGTGCAAACCACATGACATGGAAATTGAGATATGTTCATGCGCGTGAAGTTCTCTAAACATGAAAACAAACTGTATTTAGAAGTTATCAACATTAGATATACTTAGATCTCTCTCGATGTGAGCCGATGTTGTATCAAAGACATTGTCCATTGTTCGCTCACTTTGAAAAATCAAGTATCCTTTACTGTCTCCCTAGTAATCAATAATGGCCGCCCTATATTCCGAGCTGGGTTTTTCATGTCTGTTTGTTACATTTAATGTATACACTTCAATGGCCTCATTGTACTTTATTAATCAATACAAGCTGATATCTCAACAAGCCTTTCTCGTATATCCAGCTGTGGTGTTCGTGTGTTGTTGAATACGGATTTCATTTATACCGTTTCTTCTGAAGAATCGGGCCAGGGTCGTTGAGACGCTTGAGAATGGAATAAGCGCTTCTGTGACGATGTATTTAAAGTGGCGTTATCAACCCACTTCCGGTTATCCCGATCATCCGCTACTACTTGAACTGTCATCTCGAGAACAGGAGTACACTTCTCCTGTTCAACCGTCAATTATATCTTAATCATGTTTTACGTTTTATTTCATTTTCATATATATTCTTAATTTCCTATCTATTACTGCGCAAAGTTGACAGGAGATGCCTGAAATCATCCTGTTCTTATAGCTTTCAAAAACATCAACAGTAGGTTTTTCTGTTTCAAATGAAAAATAAAGAAACTTTTTCTATAGTTTTAGAATTTTTTCCATTATGAATTTATTGGACGAAAACGTTAATGAGAATCGTGTCTTTGTTTCTGAAATTGCTTCATCGAAAGCATTAAATAGAATGTAGAACAGTTTCCATTCTCTTCTGGAGTGAACAGACTGTAATTGAAAACCTTTCTTTCATTAAAATTATAAAGGATTGAAATACATTATTGCGGTCATCACATCAGCAATTGATCATGCGCACAATAATTAAGTTAGAAATGGAACATTTAATTCGGTGTAATACTTTACTTGATCATTCCATTAACGACAGGGAGGTGGAGATAAAGGCTGTAGCGTCTTAGTCTCGGCACATTAACACTGGGCCTCCAGGAATTACATTAGACTCGGCACCTTAACATTAGACAAGGCGTATTTATTATGGAGCACTGGTGTTTCCGGTAATACAATTATGTGACTGAACAATGCCTAACCGTGACGTCATAGTCTGGCCTGGCCGTTGTATCGTTTGTACCTGACATCCTTATTTTGCATTGTCGTCGACGGATTTGCCGTCGTCTATTGTGCTATTGTGATTGAGTTGTACCGATCTTCTTTATCCGTCACTGCCGACATCTTTCACTGCAATATTGTGTGTTTCCCTCATCATTACAAATGGCTTGCTTGACCCCAGGCTTAACTTCCGCCCAAAACTTCTACTGGATATCTCTATCGCGCTGGACTTTGAAACTGTTTTTTGCTCACGGCGCCCTCTCCTAAATAATGTAGGTCGTTTCCAGATGTCACATGAAAGAGATTCTCTTTGAAACATGTCTTTGTGTTTTCCGTTTGAGATGAAAAAACCCAACCTTTTCAACATTTACCACGTCCCCGTCTTACTTTGTTTTCCCGAAAGTCGCCAGAAACCGCTCATTATATCCAGCTCCCGGGAATACACAGGTCTTCTTGTGTGTCATTTAAATGCAACAAACTATTAATCAGGACAGCTTACCATGACGTCACAGTCCACGAGAAAGAGAGTTACAGGTTGTTGCTCTCTGACTACACAGCTGGTGCCTTAAAGGTCGTTTGTAAATATATCACTCGTTGACCTTCAAGCGTTTGAAGTGTGCAGAATAAATAATTCATGTCGAAGATAGTTTCTTACGGTTTGTTGTGATTTACATATAACAAGGTAGCGATGACTTAATTAACCTATCCCCATGTGGTCCAGGAGTCTTATAATGGATACTGGGCCTTCATCATCTCATTACATTAGACACGTGTTAAGCTTGCTGCCTTGGTTAATCTGGCGCTGTCGTGTGAGCTTATTGACTTCCGGTGTTTCCTGGTGATATTTCTAGATGTTTCATCCTAGGTGTTGATACTGTTCCCGAAAGTACGAAGAGCAGTTTTCGTTACATTGATGAAAACACTTGTTTGATTGATCTTTTGTTACTTTAACCTGCGGTGGAAGATGCCGGTGATTTGGTTTTGCCTTTCGATCGAGTTGGTTCACTAGTACCGTACGTGGTCCCTCGATCATTGACATTTGTTTAGTTTTTTCGTACAAATGATTTATAGTGTTGGGTTGTCTTGTTCTATCAGTGTAACAGCTATATCTGATGTCGGGGTTACGAAGCAGTGCTAAGTATCCGATATATTGGCTGTGTCTAAACTCACCTTTGCCTCTCAGTTTAATTATTCTATAGTAATGTCACATTAAAGCCTTGCAGGAAATAGCGTCTAAACAAACACATTTCACATTAAGTTAAGCTTTCAGGCCCAGCTCCTTGTCCGTTATTTACACACCCTATAAGACCTGCTGAAAACCAGCTGCCCAGCTTAGCAGGACATGTTTGTCCATTTCTGTATATAACCAAACGGAAATGCAGGCCTTTGTTGGCATTCAAAAATATTCTCCTAGAACAGGGTATTAAAAGTGATCATTCTTCTTAACGGGAGATCGAGTATTGCAATTAAATTGGCTTGATTATTTGTTACTGTTCTAGTAACCAAGCTTTGGTATTTGTGTCGGTTGTGGTACCGGCCATTGATCCTGACGGTATTGAGCCCGGAGGGGATACATATCGATGTGCAATGTTGACGGTCACACTCTCCGTATATCAGCCACCATAGATTGTGAGATCTCTATAGCCACAGCAACGAGCCACAGAACGGCGCCAATTACAGAGCGTTCAGTCCGTGCAAATGGCGCTAGATTGATGTCAACGGCTTATGATGAATATATCTGATTTCATCTGGTGAATAGTCATTTGAAACAGAAGTATGTAAGTGTCCTATCGCCGTCCCGCTGTATGATACTGATGACAGCAGTAAATGTGGATGTCTCTTATCTGGGCAATAAACTCTCTAAATTAGACAATTCTATATACTATATTTTGTAGCTTTAGGGTCCAAAATGTTGTGTGTCTATAAGGTTTTTTCCACTTTTGATAATAAAATATTGAAAAAGGTAGACATTGTTCCTACTTTGCTTACCTCCCCCTCGCCTCTCCCTTCCCCCAATAATAAATAACAACAACACCAATTTCACTTTGTATGGGTACAGCAATGTAAAGGTTATCTACACATAGTGTTTATATACCGATACTTGTTTTTCGATTTTCAATTATTTTTAGGTACGTTATCGGTTTCCATGTAATAATTGGATTCTTTTGAAAGAGCAAAAAGAATAATACACTAATGGTTCTGTATAGGAGGTTTCGTTCAGTAGTCAAAGGACAACCAAACGATACTTTACATGGAGATAAAATCAGTTTGTCTGTAGCATTTCTGTTATATTTGTTTAGTCTACAGCTTTTTATGTATTGTGTAAAATCCTAGTCACTTTGTCTAGGTCATCAATATTTAACAACTTTCTGGGCAATTGGAAATGCATTTGTTCTGGACAAATTAGTCTACTCACCA